GGCTCCCACTGCATAATGAAGATAATCTGTTCACTCCACTCAGCTTGGAGGGGGCAAGAGGAAGCAAACATGGAGGCACCAGGGAAGTGTGAGTGTCTATGAGAAACTGGAGTGGTGATGATATATTATCTTTTTGGGGCGGGGGCAGATACCGGGGATTGAACTCAGGACCTTGTGCTTGCTTGCAAGGCAGGCACAGTGCCACTGAGCTAAATCCCCAGTGATGATATACTATCTTGACTGGCCAAGCAATTGAGAGACTCCTTGGCTAGAGGTGCAGTGATGCTGGTTCATCCCAGCCAGCATTAGGGCGAGAGAGCCCTTGCACTAGCCCCCCAAGAATATAGGGTGTTGTCGGATGTGACTCTAACACAACAGGACTTCCCTGAGTGATCCCCACACAGGAGTCCCCAGTGTGTTTCCCACCACACCTTCTGCCATGATGCATCGCTGTGAAGCTGGGAAGGACCAACTGGACTGAATTCAGCAGACCAAAGTTCAAGCCTCAGTTCTTTGTTTCCGAGCTAAAGCAGTAACTCAGTATTAAGGCTGGGGGACATCACTGCGTTTTCTTTGGAGCTGTACCCTAGTTCACTGGACCCACTTTTTTCTTCCAGATAAAGGACATCTAATTGTGAAGAAATTAATGTGTCTGTGGAAATAAAGCCTTTTATTTAAAAATGGAGGTCACAATCTTGAGAATTAAAACAGTGCGTTGAATTTTTGTAGTGTTCTAAGCTAGGTTCTTTTCTGACAGATTGGATACTCACCTCTCCCCTGAGCCGGCCATTCTTTAGTCTGGCTGGTGTCCCCTGCCCTTTGTGTTTCCTGTGTCCCAGCTGCTGTTCCCTAGATACTGGGCCACCAACCTTCTACTGGACCTTCAGCCATCATTGTTCATCCCAACTCTCTCCAGATCTTTCTTTGTTCTCCTCTGTTTTTCATATTCCATGCAAGGTGGTTGAGTATTCTGTTCTCTTCTGAGGCTGTGCTGCCTGGAAGAATAAGACATTGCTCAGAATTGGACACACCTGGGTTTAAAACCAATTCTCCCATTAACAACTGGCCACTTATGTGACCCTGGGCCGTTCAGTCTCTGGACCTGAGTATCATCATCGGTAAAATGGGGGAAATATGTTGCATCCCTTTGGGAGGTCTCACGTACCAACCCACCAAATGGTGTATCAGTCATTGCTTACTAGAGAAAATGAGTGGATGCATGATATACAAAATATATAAGAATTTACAAGATTGGGTTACAGTGGCCACCCACTGAGTCAGGTGTGGAAAAGTGCACAAGGGCTGTCTGCACGCTGGAGATCGAAAGGAGCCTGTCAAAGGCCGGGAGCTCGGTGTATGTCCTCTGTGAGTCCATATCAGGAGGCTGAAGGGGTTGTGATGGAAGCCAGGAGATGATGAAGGTGAAGGCAAAGACTGGAGCTCCTCAGAAATACAGAAGCACTCCTTTCTTCTTTGTTTCTCTTTTACACCATTCTGGTGACAGTCCTCCTACGGGTGGGTCTTCCACACCCATAACCATGCCGAGCCAATTTGGTCGGGTGTTTCTTACTCCAGTTGACACAGTTAACCGTCACAGTGTCCTCAAGAGGTTTTCACGGTAGACAGTGGCTCTCTTCTAGCAGATCTCACACTCCTGTTGAGCCCAGCCACAGCAGCCCCGGAGACCCACCGGATGACACCGAGTTGAAGTCATCTCTCTGTGACCCCAAGGACTGCTCTGGTATGCCCAGCATCGTTCTGTCCTTACAAGTGGCGAAGTGATGCTGCCGCAGCTCAAATATTCTGCAGCACCTCTGTCTGGAGCTGGACCGGGCATGTGTCCAAAATCATCATCATTTTCAGGGTGTGATGATTCCTTACAGCCCACAGAGGCCAGCCAAGGCCCAGGAGGAAAGGCGACAGAGTGCAAAGGAAATATGCTTCCCTGGACACTCAGGTCCGGCTTTCTGCTGTGTCACTAACCATTATGTCTTTGGGCACAGACTTTTTAGGCTGCCTCCGTTTCAACCGTAGAATGCTGCTTGACGAACGGGGTTACATCCAATAAACTCAATGTAAATTGGAAATCTCCTAAGTTGATAAAGCACTGAATACCCTTGCCCTGCTGAGCATCATAGCTTAGCCACACAGCACACGCATGTCAGTTGTTTTCCCTTGTGACCCATGCATGACAGGGCCATGGTCAGGAGAGAGCATCACACCATGTATCACTGGCCCGGGAAAAGATCAAAGCTTAAACACAGTTGCTGCTGAATGATTCTGCTTTTGTACCATTGCAAAGTCAAATACTTGTGAGTCGAATCATTGTACATTGGGAGCCATCTGTAGTAGAACTTCCTTCTTCCCTTCTCCCACCCCAGTCCACTTTCCTTCAACAAACACAAACTTAGCATCGAGGTACTAGGGATACAGTGAGCAGAAGCACACACTCACCCTACCAGGCCCTCATGGAGCTCATCGGTGACAAAGAGTGCGTTCATCACATAAATGCAGGACGCTAGCTCAGAAGAGCCCTCTATAGGACAGGCGGTGGTGCTGGCTGTGTCTCGCACCAGGACCTGAGTGGGGTGGTGCGTTAGGGATGCATCTCCATGAAGCTGCAGCTGAACAGAGGTCTGAAGGCCAAAGAATCTGTCACTGGCTGAGACAGTGCGGGGGGAGATTTCCAGACAGAGGACAAGGTCAGCGCAGAGCCTCACAGGTGGGAGAGGGCGCTAGAAGGGCAGGGGACAAAGGTTCTTGTGCGGGACCCGGCCTTCAGTCTTCTAAGAGCAAGAGGAAGCCCTCATATTGTTTTAGAGGGGAGGATGGACACTTAGTATGTCATTGTTGGAAGAAGGTGTCCATTCAGCACCTCAAGACCCTGATACTCCCACAACTATCTGAGTGACAGCGACGCAGAAGCCAAGCTGATGGAGACTGATGCATAGCCCAGGGGAGTGGTTCACAGCTCTCCCACCCTGGCTGCTTCTCCCAGGAAATGGCAGGGGATCAGTCCCCCCACCTGACTGTGATCTGCAAGGGGAACACCCCAACCTTCTGCTGTCAGAGGGACTTCCCAAGATGTGGATGTCTGCTATCTCCACATGGAAGAGGTGGGGGAAAAGAGGAGTTTCTGAAAAGAGAAGTTTTTAATCCTCCCTGCCTCAAACATGTCACTCATAGCTTCTACCCTGGGCCACTGTGGGAAGTGGTGGGTGGCCTGGCACTGCATGAAGCCAGCAAGTTGAGCTCCATCTCAGCCCCTGCTCAGGGACAGTGGACAGTTTGCCAACCAAGCCACTCATGGTTGCTGGGTCCACGGGGAGGAGTCGGGGGGAGGGAGCAGCCACTCCTTCTCTCTGGTTTGGAGTGAGGGCTTTCTCTTCTCAGTGCCTGCTTTTATTTACTTTTTAATTTAAATACCCAACCTCTCCATCACAGCTGCATCCCCGAGAGTGGCTGTGATGGCAGCTGTGTTGCGGACCCTGGAAATCTCCTCTCCATCTTCACTTCCTGGGCAAGATCCTTTCTCTGCAGCCAGGAAGACTGGTGGGGAGGGCTGTCAGGTGCTTTCTGGGTTGGGCTAAGCAAGCTGTCGTGCACAGGTGCCATTGGCACTCCCAGCCCCACCCACCCTGTCCGCCTCATCCACATTAAGTGCAATGACCTATTTAAGAGTAAACCCATTCCACCTATGCCTCAGTGGGCCTTGCCAAGCACTGCTTCCCTCCCCTCTGCCCTGTGTTGCCCACTGTAAGCTCCACCCGAAAGGGAAGGCCTTGAGGGCTGGGGATTTAGCTCAGTGGTTCTGGCGCCTGCCTTGCAAGTGGAAGGACCTGAGTTCGATCCCCCGTACCAAAAAAAAAAAAAAAAAAAAAGAAAGACCTTGAGTGGAGAGCTTTGTGGTGGGAACAACTGAAGATGGGAGCTTTGCCCAGTGCTGGTGTGTGTCATACCCAAATTCTCACCCTGTCTGAGCCTATGTCATCTTTCCTCTTCCCGTCTCCTGGCCTCCACACACTTCCCCCAGACATGGCAATAATCTGTCTGCAGGCCCCAGCTCCCCTTCCAAAAATAAAAAAGAAGGTGTCCATTAACACCTTACCTCCCAGATCACTTGTCCCATGAAATGATGAGTCATTCAGCCGAGGGGTAGACACAGGAGACACAGCAGAGGGCATTTTGGCAGACAAGGGATGAGGAGAATCCAGAAGGCGGAGTAATGTCGTGGAGTTCAGGCCTAGACACTGTCAAAAGCGTCCCGGGGCTCCCTCTGGTAACTTCAGAGGGCTGGGCAGCTGGAATCAGGGGGTGCCCTGGGCAGGCATCCTAAGGAAGACAGAACCGACCTTCTAGCATCTTTCTCAGCAGACACTTTTCGTCCTTCATGACTGAGATCAGCAGTTGTTCGGGGCCCTTACTGAGCTCATCACATCCTCTAAGCCAGAGTCCATTCTCTGAGAAGGTAAAGGGCAGATGTTCATGACTGGAATTCAGCTCCACCCTTGTGGCTCATAAGGGCATCTTCTGTTGATACAATTTGAGTTTCCCCACTCTTGGGTGTTAAATCCAGGCCCACCTGCCTGGCCACAGCAGTGAGGAGCAGATGCTGTCTGATCACTGGCAAGCTGCTTATTGCTCCTGACCCTGAGTTTACATACTTGTAAAATGAGAATACTTATACCTATCTCAGTGGATTAAATAAGAACAGGAACATACTGGACTTAGCACAGTGCTACTACCTGTGGCAGCAGCCATCATTATGGCAATTATTTTGCATGTGTGAGATAACTACAATCTTCTCTAGGAAGTGGAAGTCAGCATAACCAGACACCAGGCCAGGCAGAGAGAAACTAGGGAGTGGTGGGGACTGTGGCAAACAGGAGAACCCCTGCCTGTCCAAGGAGAGCAGCAGTTCAGGCCATTGGCTGCTGAGAACTTAGCACAAGAACTCAAAACAAATACACTGTTTGATTTTTCAGACATGTTGAGGGTCCTAATTTATTTTTTTTAATTTTAATTTTTTGGTACCGGGGATTGAACTGAGGGTCCTAATTTATAATATTGGTGTCTAATTCAAAAACTAAAATCCCACAGGTAATAACAACTCAAAGTGACTACACTGTGGAACACAACTGCCCAGGGTGAAGCTGAACCGAAGGCAATGAAAATAAAGATCCACAGAGGCCAAGCTGTTATGGGAGGTCAGATCTGCCCCGCAGCAGGACTCTGAAAGTGCCAGAAAGTCCAAAAAGCGGAGTCCAAAGGAGCCATCCAAGTGGGACCTGTGACACGGCAGCAACATGCACGCAGCAGCGTCACTCAGGGCGAGTTTTGAAGCGGAGGACACTCGCGTAGCTTTCTGTACTGGGGCAGCTATGCAAAGACAGTGACAGCTTTGAACACCCCAGGCTCTGGGTTCCCCTGGGAGCCTGAGGCTGTTTGTTCACAGAGCTGCTCTTAGGAATGGCAATACCAGCAATGTCCATTGGGGGTCTCTCTCATACAAATCATGGCACCACCTCCTGGGTTCTAGCGGAAATGGCAGCCCTGGGACTCTGCTACAGCGAGGCGAGTGCAGGCCTCTTTGGGAAGACTGCTGCAGCTTGGTGGCTCTTCGCAGAGACGTGACTAGCTGTTACATGAGCCAGCCAGCCTTCTCTCCTGTGCACCAAAAGCCCTGGGTGATGTTCCCCGTGCAGCAGGATTTCAGGAGAAGCTTGAGTTTCTGTCCAATATTAGGCCAGTTGCTTTCTGTGCTTCTCTCAGACCTGCCATCCAGGCAGCTGCTGCCGCCTCTCCTCATGGAGTCCAACAGGAAATACATTCTGGACGTCAGGGCAGCCCTGTTTCAGGAGCAGGGTCATCTGGTCACAGAGGTTGGAGGTCGGGGCCTGGGCTCTGATTCTGCCACTCACTAGCTGTGCAGCCTTGGGCAAACCTTTCTCTTTTCCCCCTTTTTTCTGGTACTAGGGATTGAACCTAGGGTCTTTTTGCTAGGCGACATCCTGGCTCTTTTTAGATTTTCTATTTAGAGACAGGGTCGCACTCAGTTGCTAAGGGGCCTGGGCTGGACTTGAACTCAGATTCCTCCTGCCTCAGCCCTCCCAGGGTGCTGGGACCACAGGTGTACGCCACCGCACCTTCACTTTTCTGGATGTCTCCTCATATGTAAAAGGGCTACTACTAACCTCAGAGAAGGTTTCCAATCTGAAATGGAAATGAATGCCTGTGAAACACTGATCATTGGAATACCTGTGAGTTGTTTGCATTATACTTTGCAGCAGGGCTTGACAAATTTGTTTTCTATAAAGAGCCAGCTGGTGAATACTTTTGGCTTTATTGGCCTTATAGTCTCAGTCTCAACTGCTCATACATAAGCAGATTAATGTGTCTATGTTTCAATTAAGGTTTATTTTACAAAAAGCGGCCATGGGCTGGATTTGGGCTAAGGGGCTGTGCTTTGCTGCCTCTAACAGCCTGCTTCGGAAGGCCTCAGAGCTAAGAATCGTTTTCATGTTTCTAAACGGTTAAAAAAAAAGCACCAAAGAATAGGTGACAGAGACCAGGCTGTATGTGGCTCACAAGCCCACAGTGTTTACCGTCTGGCTCTTTATAGGAGCCGGCAGCACACCAGGGTGGCGCATCTTGGGAAAGCCTTGGCTCCGAATACAGCTCTGTTCCTGAATTCTTGGAACCTGACTTGTGGGTCAAAATAAGGCATGTAGGAGCCAGAGGACCCCAGGACCCATCCAGCAGGGTCTCGGGCTCCTTATAATTCTCCTGGCAGAGCCCTGGGGCTGGAGGAGGGAGGGGAAATTTGGCCTCCTCGCTCTCTTTTAGTTGTCTCTCTCTTTTCTGAGTTTCAGAAAGATATCAGTCTGCCTCGGAAAATGCGCCGATAGTCCAGCGAGAGGGCTTTCCTGTGCCACACTGTTCCAGGACGTGGGACTGTGCTTCCGCCCAGCACTTTGGGCTTCTCTGAACTCCAATATCCAGAGCCTGCTCCCAGAGCCAAGATACTTCTTTGTTTTGGATCCAGTCACACAAACAGCAGAGTCATCAGGTCCCTGGCCCCAGAGCAGCAATCCCCAAAGAGCAGGAAGAGGCACCCTGACTGAGGAGAGCCGGTTGTGCCAGTTAGATAATGGCCCGGGCAGCAGAGCCCAGGTGGGGGTGCCTGGGAGCTTAGGCTTGGGAGTGTCTGTGAGCCCCGGCTGGGCCGGGTGCGTGTGGGCCTGGCCGGTAAGCAGGGCTGCTTAGTCCCGCTGCTTCCCCCAACCACCAGGAGCAGCCGGGGGGGCTTCCCAGTATTATTATAGCACAAGGAGTCAGAACAGACCCAGTGCCAGCTCGACCCAAGAGGGCTTTGGGCAGGGCCTCCCTTTATCTTAAATCATTCTCTCAAACAATGACTTCCCAAAGAACAGCCCTGGAGGAAAGACTGTCATTTACTGCTCGCTGTGACTCTGAAAATAATACGTATTTACTACAGGAAGTTTTTTAAAAGACAGAAATGTGGAAAGAAGAAAAGGTACAGACTAATTTTTAGACTCAAAACCAATCTGAGTAATTCCGAAGATAATTATTCACTGAATGTCTACTACCTGCCAGGCACTGTTCTTGGTGCTGGGGTTCCAGCCCCAAATAAAGCAAAGTCCTCACCTGGGGGAGCTCGTACTCTGCTAGGGAAGACAGTCACGGAGGAGAGTGAGGGGCCCGGGGCTGATGGAACAGGCAGCCGTTTGATAGGATGGTCAGAATGACGGAGGTATCCGTGAAGAGTGCTTTGGGCAGAGGGACAGGAAGTGCCCAGCTGTTAGCCAAGAGCCTGTCGGGTATGGCTGAGATGTGGAGGAGGCCAGCATGCTGAAGATGAGGCTGCAGGCTGAAGCAGTGGGGCCTGCAGACGTCACCGAATGCAATGGGAACCCCACATAGGGTCCTGAGCAGAAGAGTGACATGACTGGCCCTATTGTTTTTAAATAATCATTGTAGACACTGGATGGAAAATGGGGGCTTGGGGTGGGGGTTGACCAGGGCAGAAGCTGGGAAACCAAAGAAGAGGCTACGGCAGTCGTAACAGCAAGCGGAGCTGCCCCAGTTGAAGGGTGGCGGCAGGGACCACCTCCTTGTCCATCAGGCCTCCAGTCGTGCCTCTCACTGGTCCCTGAGGTTCCGCTGGGGAATCCTAAGGTGTCAAGAAACAGTTCAGAAACTGATGGACTAAGGCCTCTTCCAGTTCCAGGCTTCTGGATCTTCTGGTCCTGCTTGTTAAGCTGGAAAAACTAAAAGTGTAAATAAGGATCAAAATGTATAATTGATAATGTGAAATCCGAAGAAAAGGTCTGAAGGAGTAGGGGAAGTGGGAAGGGTAGGGGAAAGGAAAGAAGGGAAAAGAAAAAATGTGAGAAAAGGAAAAAATGGAAACAAAGGCTTTGTAAACAGGGAAGGGTGGAGGGGGCGAAGGGAGGGCAGGGGAATGGGGAAAAATAAGAACCAAGATGCATCATGTAAAGGTACAAGATCCCAGTGATGAATGTAACTGTACTGTATACCTAAAATGTATCAATTAACTTAATGGAAAACAAAGTGAGTCAATAAACATAAAAAAAAAATTCTGCCCCAAGAGGGTCACTGGCTGGGATGGCAACAAGGAAGTCACACACAGCCACAGGGCCAAGTCTGAGGGGCCCCTGGCTTTCCCTTCTCTTGCATTTCTCCCCGGTGCCTTCTGACCCTGTGGTTCCCAACCTATTCCCATTATCTGAGGAGCTTTGGAAGCTATAGACTCCCAGACTTCCCTTCTCAGGTGGGCCTGGGCAGGCCCAGGAATTTGTATGTAAAAACCCTCCAGGGAGAAGTGGATGAGTCGCTGGGTTTGGGAACTGTGGGAGGAACTCCCAGTCTTCTCCAGTCTCCTCAGCCACCTAAGCCCACCCACGTGGACTCACCATGTGTGGGTGAGCTCCTGTTGTCTCCGAAAATCTCACTGAACCATGGGCCTGTGAAACCGTGTGAGGGTCTGAACTATCCCAAAATACAAGCAACGTTGACAAAAATGCTCACTGAAGGAGAACTCTGCAGGGTAGAGAGATGTATGGGGGAGGCCTCCTGGCAGGTGGGCCTTAAAACTCATTCCAGCACCTGAGGAAAATCGGACATTTTCCCATAGAATGAGAACAGAAGCAATGGAGAAGAGGAAGTGCATTTTATGTCAATGAATGATAATTTTTTTCTCAGTTACCAAGAACCAAATAGTATCAACAAAACCAGACTCAGAGCCATCGACTAAAAAGATTTCTCAGAGTCAGACTTTTTCCTGGAAGCTGTGAACTTTATCCACCAGCAGCCATTAATCTAATAGTAAGCCCCTTAACCTCCCTAATTGTTCTCTTTCAGTGTCAGCTGGTTTCATATTAACCTTTCAATCTTTCCCCTAATACAGTTACCTCCACCTCCAGCCAGACCTGATTTAGAAGCTGCAGCCAGCCCAGAACTTTCCTTCTTGCTGCAGGCCCCTCTGTCCCCAGAAAGCTGCCTCTCCTCCTCCAAATGCTGAGAAGGAGGCCCCTGGATGTGGTGTTCAGAGCTGGGATGTGGCCCAGACGGAGCCTGAGGGACACATTCTGTAGCCAGCGCTGTGCTTTGGGTTCTCACAGTGCTTCTGCTATAATGGGGACCACGGCTATCAGTGGAAGATAGCAGTGGGCCATCAGAGCTCCTCAGCCTCAGGCTGGTTGTGTGCTTGGCTAGTTGTGCTTTATTCCCTCTCTCCCGGGAAGAGCTCATGCAATAGTGTTTGGACAAGGAGAAGCATCTGGCCAGGTGCCGAGGGAACGCTGCTCGCCTGTTTTGAGTTCTCGTTGTGTCTGTGGGGGCCGTCAGCTCTGACACCAGCCTGTGTTTCAGTCTCCAAAACAGCCAACTCTCAAGTACCATTTCGTGGCCGCCCGAAGCCTGAATTTGAATTCCAGCCTTTTTCATGGAGAGTGACAGTTTGGGAGAGAAGGCCTTTGGCGCCTTGGTAACTGCTAAAATATATATCAAGTATATACATATGCATGAAATTATATAAGCAGCGAGGGTCTTCTGTTCCATGGGACACCCCCTAGCACATTTCTCTTTTACAGCTAGGCTAGAAAGCTAGAGAGAACCTTAGACTTCGCTATCCAAACCCTCCTCCATGGAGCCAGGGCCTGAGGCCTGAGTGCGAGTCAGAGGGGGAAGTGCAAAGCAGGCTCCTCCAGCTTCACTGGCTTCTGTTGGGCAGAACAAGAGAACCAGGATGGCTTCCCAGCAGGGCACTGGGCAGCACAGCGGAGAGGAGGGCAGTGGCCGCTCCTTTCTGACTGGCCGCACTGGAGGCATTCTCTTCTGGCCACGAGGGTCAAAGCCAGCTCCTGCAAGGCATCCCGCCTGGGGGCTGCAGCCCACCTCGTCCACCACTGGCCAGAGTGGCACGTGCTTGGTGCTTCTCCTGGTGAGGACACCCAGCTCAGTGTCACCTCGGGCTTCAGAAGGACCCCTCACTGGAGCACCCTGAGGGTGGGGAAAAAAATCTGCCTCCATCACCAGGTGTCTCCCCTCCCGGCATGCGCACACATGAGCCCACAGCCTTCCCCACAGCCTGTCCCATGGCATGAGTGCTACCCCAGGCTTATCACCCTGGCCAGGAGCAGTGCCATCTTCATGGCACAGACATGCCACTGGGTCGTGGGGTCCTCTCTGGACAGCTCTGACTTGCACACCAGCTCTGGGTGGCATCTCACTCAGGGCTGCACCCAGCCCCAAGGCACACTGACTTCCAGCCCTTCCTAACCCGAGTGGCACCTCTGTCAATTGACTCCCACCTCAGAGGACTAGGTGGGCAACAGATTCCAGAAAAAGAGGGTTAGGATGCCTAACCAATTTCGCTCCATTTGACAAATGGATGGCACATCCCGTGTTTGGAAGCTTGGCCTCATCCGAAAACTCACTCTGGAAGAGGTTAGTTTCTCCCAGCTGTGAGCATTCCTGCTGGTAGGGTGGTCATGCACAGAGCTTCCTGAGCTTCCTGTGGGAATGCAGAAGGGGCCGTGATGGCCATGAACCCCAGGGGTCTCTCTGGTCCTGGTAGTGAACATATTTCTGGGTGACAGGCAACTGAGACTAAAGATGAACTTGAAACATCAATATGAGTTAATAAACAAACACTTTAAAATAACAAAGTACTGTTTTCTAGCCCTTCCCTTATTATATCAGGGCATTTTAGGCAACTGAAGCTCTAGTGTTTTGTTTCTTTCCTTTTGGCTTACCAATGTCCAAAATTAGACCCAGAGCTGTCCAATTTGACTGTTGCTCCAGGCTTATTGTTTCTCTTGAAGGAGGACTGAGTGGATCTCACTGCACAGACCAAGGGGTGATCCACCCATTGCTTTCAGTGTCAGCCAGCTGCATGTATCGGGCACCTGTGCTCAGGCAAGCTTGGCTTGGGCTCTGTGGGAAGACACAGCCAGCCAGCCCAGATGTGCTCCTAGGGCTGGGTACTGCCTGTAACACAGGAAAAAAGAACAAGGAGGAGCAAAGCAAGTGAGCAATTGAATTAAGCACAGACTCACTAGGAATAGGAGGGTTTTTGGTTGGCAAAGGGGTTGACCAGGCATGATTAACCATTGAAATTGAAGAAGTGATCTTTAACTTGGACTTGGATGCAGAGAAGCCAGGGGGGGCTTTCTGTATGGGTTAGGTGTTAGCAGGGCTGTTGGTAAGTGAAGTCTCACACACACATAGCTGTGAGTAGGAAGAGGGGCAGACTGAGGACCAAACAGGCTGAGTGAAGTCCGTGGCTGGTCTGAGGCTCAGGATCCCTGCAGCCCTGCCACGCCCCGCCCCATGAACACAGCTTCTCCTTTCTCTCAGGCACAGGCTGATGCCTGGGGTGGTCCAGTCATTTCCATAGCAACCAATTGTTCTGTCATATGATTCTGACTCTGGGAACAGAAGGGACACGTGAAGCCACTAAGTGACAGAGATCTAGTTTTCCAGGAAGTGCCCCTGCTAATATAGAAGAAAAAAAATGTACATGCTAGAAGATAAATGGAACAGGAATAAGCAAGTGCTAAATTTTCCATGAGGCATCAGCTGTTTGCTAAAAACAACAATAACAACCTGATAGGCTCAACAGGAATGGCCCCTGGGCTTCTGCAGACCACAGTCAGTGGCAGGGCCTCGGAGGTAGAAGGCAGAGCGGGAGGGCCGGGGATTTAGCTCAGCAGCACTGTGCCTATCTCGCAAGCCCGAGGTCCTGAGTTCAATCCCTGGCACACACACAAAAATAATGCAGAGCAGAGAGGACTTAAATGCACCCCCCAAATTCAACACACATCCCACTGCCAGTACTGGCAACGCTGCTGTTGTGAAGGCAGCAGGCACTGACAGGTCCCAGCTTTGTTAATTCAAGGACTACTTCTCTGCTAGCTGCAGTTTTGTAGCTCTAGTACAACCTCACTAATTAGAACTCATCGGGAGAAAGGCCAGCCTGAATTCCAAGGTATATTAGGAGCAAAACACATGCTGACTCTAAAGGCAGGACTGAGGTGGTGCCAGCAGCAGGGAGCCAGAGGCTCTGCTATAGCCCGAGGCTGTGTGTGTGTGTGTGTGTGTGTGTGTGTGTGTGTGTGTCCTGGTCTGGATGACCTTAAACAGGTCCCTCACTTGTCTTGGTCTTTATCTTGTACAGGAGGTGACTAGGCTCGTCCCTGCTTGCATTGTGTTCTATCCAGGCCAGAGGCCTGCTTCAATGCTTCAAGTGATGTGGCTGTAGATACAGCACCAGGTTAATTTGACATATTGAGTGTTTTCATAGAGCAGAACCAAGGCCGTATCTCACTCACCATTCATCTGCATCTCCAGTCAATATTGACTGATAATTGCTATGTGACCATCTAGGGCTGAGCCTCAGGAATAAGGGTAACAAGTGGTGGTGCCTTTGGAACCCACATCCCGGTGACAGGAGGGCCAAGAAGGCACGTACTCACACCCAAGGGCCCAGGCTGGCGTCCAAGTGTGGTTCAGGGCAAGGTGTCTCAGGATGCAGCTAAGAGCTCTCTCCATGCCCCAGGTCCAACCGGAAGGAGAAGCAGAGGGCATCCTGGGAGACAGGGGAAGTAAGCAGCATGGGGGACAGTGCTGAGCAGGCCCCAGGTGCTCTAGGCACCTTGGGGCAGCAGACAAGCTGTGGCCAGGCTGCCTCTCTGATATCACCATTCTTTTCTGAGATTTAGCCCCAGATAAACAGAGCACACAGACAGCAAGGGGTAACCTATTCAGAACAAAGAAAACAAGCAGAATCCCAAGAGAACAGGAAAAGAGCTGGAGATTATGCAGGCAGATTGCCGCCAGAGAAGATCTGGGGTGGTGTCGGTGACTGAGGTGACAGCCTAAGGTCAAGGGGGCAGGTGAGGCCCCCTGCACAGCCAGAAAGCCCCTCCATCCGCCCTGAAGCTGTGGGAGCAACGTCTGTGTCCTCACCTGGAAAGGTCTGGGCAGAGGATCAGGCACTGAGGCCACTGGGGAATCTTGGCGAAGGACACAGCTATCTGTCGCTGTCTTCTGGGCTTTGCTACTTCACAGAATCCCAGAGATTCCCAGGGACTTTCCAAAGAGTTAAGCTGCCAGTCATTCGACAGGCGTTTACCAGCAACAAATTGTCAAGCTCAACAAAGGCATTGTCCATGCCCTCAAGGTGTGTGGAGTAGGGTGGTTTATATAAGATAAATTATATTCTATTTAAGGACTAAGTCACAGGTGGGCATGGTGGCACACCACTGTAATCCCAGCTACTCAGGAGGCTGAGATGGGCGGATTGCAAGTTCAAAGCCAATCTGTGCATCTGTGCAACATAGTAAGATCCTGTCTCAAAAAATAAAAAAAATTAAAAGGTCCAAATCAGGGGTGGAAGCAGAAAGGATTACAGGGGAGGCAGAGAGAGAGAGAGAGAGAGAGAGAGAGAGAGAGATCCCTCAAGACTGGCTGATCAGAAAGTCTTCATGCAGAATTTGTGTGGGTATTGAAGAATAGATAGATGGAGAGAAAGATACCAGAACAAAGATGAGCTTGGGTGAGAAAATGTTTGAAGGAGCACACTTTCAGTAACTGCTACCACCACATAGCGCTGGTCTCAGAGGAAGCCTGGACATTGGAAGAGAAAGGGACCGCTCTGTCATTGGAATACACTTCACTGTCAACCTAGACCCAGTTTGAATCTTGGGTCTGCTGCTTAGTAGCATTACGGCCTGGGTGAGCTTCATTTCTGGGTGCTCACATTGCCTCCTCTGTAAAATGAGCATGGGGACAGTGTTTACCTCAAGGACTACCACAGATAAAGCATCCCCAGAAGAGCAGTCCCCTGTCGCCTTCCTGGCCCATCAGTAATGCCACCATCGAGACCGAAGAGAATAAATATTCCAGAAGTCCTCCGAGTGCCCTTTGGAAGTAAATATACAGATTGATCTGTGGGGAAAAAAAATATGTTCTCTTCCAGCCTGTGGGGTGAGTGGACCACGCACCCTTGTCTCCGGATGTTTGGCTTCCTGAATCTTCTCTGAACAATGCCATCTCTGTCCTGGCACCCCTGGCAAGCAGTCCCATGAGAGCCAGGTTCTTGTCACATGTCCTTTTCCTGGAGTGAGTCACTAGAGAATTGAGCTGTAGGCATAACCTTCACGGGGAAGGGAGGTGAAAGTGGATGGGAACAACACAAATACTGCATAACTGGGTGCTTAATGTTCCTTTCCATCAACATTTCGCCCCAGGCCTTAACCTTGCAACTCAAAAGTGCAGGCAAATAATGAATGGGATAAACTGAACGACCTGCTTGTAGTCCACAAACAAAGGATCTTTCAACACCCCACGGTCTTATCTATTCCAATCAAGTCTAGCCTATTATGAACCAGAGGGAGAATGGGAGATCTTAGAGATACTTCTTAGTCCTAACAGAAAATCAGACAAGCCATTTTGCTAGATCCTCAGCAAAAGTGATAATGAACAGAGAAAGGGAAAATCTAAATAACCAAAGGAAAGCCACATAGAATTTGGATGTTGAAAACTGACAGCGTGTCTTTTTCCTTTGGTTGTTAAGCATAGTTTTAGGATGGCAAACATAAAGCTGGCATATCTGTGTGAAGCCTTTAAGACCTATTTCTCGAGACTAGACGTCACATAGGTGACAGGTGGCATCTTTACCCTGGACAGCTACTGTGATAGGGCTGAAAAACAGTAGAGTAGAAATGGGGACAGGCTAAGTCCCACCCTGCACTCTGGCTGTGTGGCCTTGGTATGTGACCTTGCATGACCTCACTTCTCTAAGCCTGGAGTTCTTTATCTGAAAAATGAAGTTTGTTGGAATAATTTAATGTTTCCTTTTATTTTTTAATGTTTTTGGTACTGGGGATTGAACTCAGGACTTCGGGCTTGTGAGGCAGGGAGTGGCACCGCTGAGCTAAATCCCTGGCCCAGTGTTTCCTTTTAAATACCCACCCCCAAGCTTTAATGTTCTTAGCTACTCTGATTAAAAAAAAAATAAGGGAGAGGACAATAATCCTTACTAGTACCACTCTGTCACCCCTCACAGCACCCTAAATACAAGCCCAGAAGGGTCTCCACTGCCTTGTGTGTTCAAATGGAGCTCCCTTGCTCTGCATGGTATAAATGGTCACCCAACTTCCTGAATTCCAGCAGGCCTGGCAGGTCATGCCGTGAGCTGCTCAAATTCACATCTTATTCCTAACTGGTTCTTTTCTACCATGCCCTAGCTTCACTCTGCAAGTCAGCTCTTCTGACATGCAGTGCAGGCATTAATGTGAGCAAGCAGGTCTCCAGCTCTGCAGAAGCTCACCTTCTAGTAAGGATGCAGAAATATCTGTAGATCAAGGCTGAGAGAAACAAAAATCTTTCTGGTGACAACTCACAGGAGAGCAGGAGTCATTCTGGCTTGGGTGAAGCTTCCTGGAGGAAAACACATTCATAATGAACTTGTGAGATACAGGTGGAGTTAGGAGGCTGAGACCAAGGAAGAAAATGTGTCAAGGGAAGGACAAAGGCACAGGCACAAAGGAGTGTACTTCACACACAGGAGTGACACTTGGCCCTTTCTGGCTACAGTGTCAAGTGCCTGAGGCAGCTGGGCTCCAAAACTCAGGCAAAGGCCTATTCATTGTCCAGAATTCTGAAGAACCTAGACTTGGGGGAGGAACAGGCATCCTGCTCAGGGATGTGTCATAGCAGGTCTTGAACCTTAGGGAGGGCGACCTGTCAGCAGGAGGGCTTGAGAGAACTAGAGCAGAGGTGGAAAGAGCCACAAGGGGTTACTATACTGACCCAGATTATGGATCATGGGGGCCTGAAGCATAGTGGTGAGTGCAGGATTGGGAAGGAGGAAAGCTCTGGAAAGGCCCTGGGGAGGACAGAGTGGGTTCCACAACAGATGGGATGTGGGATATGAAAGTCACAAGGGAGCAGGAGAGCATGTTGCAGAGTGGAACCCAGTCACTTTCCCATGCTGGGCTCCCAAGATAGCTCATCCTAGAAGGCTCCCAATGGGGAAGACACAAGGGAAATTGGCCCATGGTAAATCTTGTGTTACACCCCACTATCTACTTTCTTTCATTAAAAATAGAACCCCTCACTTTTATCTGGACACATACATACCTTGTATTCTTATGTGGCATAAAGATTTTTTAAAACTTTGTTGTATCTAGGTAAGGTCGCGTGATAACATCTGGCCAATGATTGTAATCAAAGGTGTCAGAGTTCAGGAAAATAGTGTTTTCCTGCTGGCCAGAAGGCAAACAATGACTGGAGTTGGAGGGGTCATCTTGAACCCCAAGGCAAAAACTGCACATTGAGAATGATGGAGCCAGAGGATTCAGCACCAGAGCGACCTGTGATGACCGTGGAATTGCCACACCTGTCCCAGACTGCCAACATCTGGATTTCATCGACATGGAAGAGAAATAAATGTAACTTTGTCTTATGCTACTGTTTATGTTTTATGTCTTTTGCAACCTGATCAAATCTTAGTCTACTTAACAAAATGCAAAGGTGTGCAATGCTGACTCACTCTAACTACCCAAGAATGAAAATATCTGTATCTCTTCTACGAGACATCTTCTCCCAAGTATTTCAGCACCCCAGAACCCAAGTTATTCGTCCAAAGACAGATAGGAGAGTATAGACTAGGAGAGGCAACAGTTGTGGGCATTAATCCATCAGGCTACGCAGCCACTTTGCCAGTACAGCCCCCCACTTCCCTCAAGGTAATAAAGCTCCTGTCTTCTAAGCCCCGAGTTTCCTCCCACTGGGGGCGGGGGCACTACTTTCTGTTCCCCCTTTTCTAGATGCCTCTTGTTAATGTGGTCCTTCTTTAAATCAGGAGCAATAAAATAAAAGATAATTCAGATCTTGTACTTGGAGTCAGATTTGAGTCCTACCTTTCTGAACTTACATAATGGACATCTTACTGAGCAGTGACTTATTTACAGAAAAATCTTTTTCATTCCTTCTTCAGGTGTTCATGGTTTAGTTTCTTGATGTTTTTTTACATACAGGATGCTTCTTTATCTGATTATTTCCCTGTTCTAAAGAACACTTAGTCCTATGATTAACTGTAGGGGACAAGTACAAATGACATAGCCAAGTTTGAGGCGAATGTCAAAATTCAGCTGCTGGGGAGGGCAGAGGAACAAATTCCCATCCCCCACTCCTGCAAAAGACAGCCAGAGGTGAAACTGGTTTTAGTGGGGTCATGGCAAAAATGAGTTGCAGAGCTGCAGAAGTTGAGGTTCTAATCAACAATCGATTATATCTAACGTGTGGAGCACTTGCCATGTGCCCGGTGGTGTTCTTGTTCTAAGCACTTAAATATGTCGCCTCACAACTGTGGAATGAGGCAGTACTACCGTTGCCTCTGCCTGCAGATGGGGAACCTGGGAGCTAAAAAACAAGTGCAATGTGCTCAGTGGCATCCAGTTAGTAAACAGAAGAGCTGTTACTCCAATTCCCATGTTTCTGATTCCACGGCCGTCCTGTCAACTGCAGGAGTGGTTTTTAGGTAACCTAAAAGTTCCTCATTGCCTCTCTCTTATCCAAATGTATGCAAACACCCTCATTAAAATGCATTTCTGGGGCTGGGGATTTAGCTCAGTCCTTCCGCTGCCTGCCTTGAAAGCTCAAGGACCCGAGTTTGATCCCTGGTACCAAAAAAAAAAAAAGATGCATTACTGCATTTTTGGTGACATCAATTCCATACTTCCTGGTTTATCTGAAAACATTGTTGCTAACAGGCTGATACTTTCTTTCTCTCAGGTAAGCATATTGTAAGATATTTTCAGTTTTTGTTTTTGTCATGCTGGAGTTTCAACCCAGGGCCTCTCCAATGCTAAGCAATTCACTGAGCTGCAATCCCAAGACCTGTATTTCACTAGCAGCAATAGCATGTCCATGTATTTTTTTGGATTTTCTCTGTAAGCAATCACATTGCCTACCCACAATTTGCAAGGGGTGTGTGTGTGTGTGTGTGCATGTACCTGTGTATAATCCAGGACCTCATGTGTGCTAAGCAAGTGCTCTAACCTGAGCTGCACCCAGCTTGTTTTAATTTTTTTTTGTACCGGGGATCAAACTTGGGACCTTAAACTTTCAAGGCAGGCAGCAGCACCACTGAACTAAATCCCCAGCCCCTGTTTTAAATTTGATAGGCCTCTGTAGCGGTGTGCAGACAGGTAGGCCGGAAGGGGCTGGGAGTTGGGGAAAGCTCTCATTTGGAGCATTTTTCAGTTTCCATGGTGTAAATACTCCCACAACTATTGACTTCAAGCTGACAGTGCAGCTTGTAAAATTCCTGAATATTTAATAATTCACTCCAGTACAGCCAGCTCCAGTGTACCTGCCCCTTGGGCCCCAAGGATAGTGTGGTGGCCAAGAGTGGCCACGGTGGCTGGAGTTCTAGGTGTCAACTGCCGACCTGAGAGCTCTGGCGCTGGACAGCCTTTCTGCGCCCTTCAGCGTGTACTGTTTGGCAGGTCCCAGCTTGGCCTGTGGCCCAGGATGCTCTGGGAGGCTCCCTGCCTGAGCACAGCCCTGCAGCCAGCAGGTGGCAGCATGCTCACAGTTGACGGTCACTGCCCCTGGAAAGTGAGGGACCTTTGTTCTGAGCCAGAGGCTGTGTCACCAAGAGAAAGGCCCTGAGGGGCAAGCTAATTCGCTGTCCTCAGCTGACCTCCGCCTACGGGAGCCCAGTGGACAGGCTCCACAGCTTGAGAGAGTAACAACCTTAGCAAACAGCAGAGAGAGCAGAGTCTCAGCGCCACCCCTTGCCTGTCTCAAGGCTGAGGCCTGACAGGGCTGACATCACGGAGAAGACCCGGGCCTGGTCATGAAGGGCTGAGAGCAGGAGGGCCTTTCTAATGCTATGGAGGGTGCTCCTCATTCCTACCTGCCCCTGCCGAGGCTCCTGTCTGTGTTGGGCTGCAGCTCATCCTCTCTGTGGACTCCGGGATGCCCATTCCCACCAGGGTAACCAGTTGACCCAGCTTGCCCAAGACTGTCCTGGTTTTAGTGCTGAAAGCCCATGTCCTGGGAAGCCCTGTCTCTTGCACAACCCTGTCTCATTCAGCACCTGAA